TCCGATATCGACTCCGACCGACTCCGACTCAGGTCACAACTGTCGACTCCGACCGACTTCGACTTCCGACTCCGACTCCGACTCCGCAGCCCTGGTGGCGAGCCGCGCTCCGGCCGGCCGGCCGACCCTTATAGGGCCGGCCCCGGCTAGCGGGTTGGGTTAGGGGCGTGGCAGAGCGTAGCAGCTGCACCAATTCGCTTTTTGTGCGAAGACATATTTATGCATTCATCTCAAAGATTTAGCATCTCCCATTTCTTTTCAAATCGATCCAAATTTCCACAATCGGAAGCCACATACTTCTCAGTTGAGGCGTGAATATTTAGGCACAATTTGACGATAAGAACTAGGAGGCGAAAACGTCCCTGGAGTAGTGCGGGCTAGTTAGCTGTAACTCTCGATTAGAGATGTCAATATGATGCCAAGTTATTGATTTACCCGCACGAAACCGATACCAAGTGGTACTTGGCAGTTCTAATTATTATCTTATTGATGTTTCGTTGGTATTGTGGATCCTTGCTAATGCATTAGACGATTTAAATTTGGCAAGGAGTTGGCATTTCCTTCAATTTCCAAGGTGGTTTGGTTTTTGGTATTTTTCAATGATTTTGTTTGGTATTTGATTTGGTATCGGTTTCTCAATTGCCTGCAATTGACACCACTGCTCTCGATATACAGCATGGTGATGCATACGCTCCTTTCGAGTAGCAGATGACAATGGGTACAACTACAAACCACTTTCTAGTTATAAGCTACACCAGTAGTTATATAGTTACATGACAACAGTATAAGGTTATTAACTATCCCTAACTAACTCATTTTCACAGCGAATGTATTCCACGAACAAATGGAAACAAGAAAATAGGATCTTCTGGAGAGCATCCGCCTTCTGGCGAGGAGTCAACTTACTAGGGATATAGTCGGTCTGACTGTTTCTGGACGAGTGAAACTTAATGCCTTTCTTTTTTCGTTAACCCTCGCACGACCAGGCATTTCTCATAACACGAACGACCAGGGGGGGGGGTTGTTACGACCCCCCCCTGGCGTTTCGAAACGGAAGGTCGTAGAGCTTAGCGGAAAAACCAACGGATTGCTCTCAGCGAGATCTCGCGATTGGTGGTATTTTCTGGTCCTAGGTCAACATTTGACCTACTTTTGACCGGTCAAAGGTCAATTTTCGGAAAAAATAGACTTTTTTCAACTTTCCGCGGCGATTGCGGCAAAACGGTGAGAGATATCGACTTGAAACCTTCACTATCGTGTTCCTTGATCAATTCTCTATCGTTTGGTATGTATTTCGTTTCCCTAGCTCTAAAAATGGCGCGTTGGGAGCGCCGGAAGTCGGCAAGGTCACAGTCGGCGGCAGAAATTCGAAAAAATCAAAATTTAATTTTTTGAAATCTGCTTGTATTTTCGGATTTGGGAGGTCCATTTGCTCCCTATGAAGCTAATATTGCTGCATATTCCCATTGAGGTGACAAGAATTAGCAAAATAGTGGTTCGGGCGCTTTTCAAAAATAGTACCGGACGCTGTTCCTCTTATGACGTCATAACTCCGTGACCTGACCTGACCCGGTCAGTTTTCTTGCACCACACGATAGCCAATGGTGCCCCAACATGCATGGGAAGTTTCATCATGATCCATCAAACAATGTGGGTATCACCGGCAGAAAACCTAGGGATTCGGCGCACACGTTTGGTAACTGTCGGCCGGAGGCTGTACCTCTTATGACGTCATAACTCCGTGACCTGACATGACCCGATCAATTTTTTTCGGCAAAAGATGCGCAAAGGTTGCCCCAGAGGGTATTGAAAATTTCAGCCCGCTACGACAAGCCGTTTAGCGTGCACTTCGAAAAAACCTCAGGGGGGGGGGTGAACAACCCCCCCCCCTAGGCGTTTTAGGGTTAACATACCCAGCTTATCACGGGGGCAGAGATGGAATTTTGAGCGTGTTTTAACTCGCGCCGTGCTGGTGGCCTGTGCTGTGACCGCGCCCAGCCGGTCGGCGAGCCGGGCCGCGCCCGTCCGCCAGCCGCCCGCTGCGCCGGCCGGAGCGCCGCGGACTGGGTCGCGCCACGGTCACGCGGCTCGTGGTGCCCGCTCATTGGTGCGGGCACGTGGCGTGACCGAGCCGTGCCCGGTGATTGGTCGGTTGCGTATATGTGAGGGCATGTCGTGCGCTTGTGTGGGACGATGGGCAGTTGTCATCGGGACCTGATCAAATACACACGACTGTGGACACAGCGGCTCTGCACTGGAGGGACGACGACATCACATGGCGCAGCCGGCAGTAGAAGCCTTCGCCAGTCACCGCTGATACCCGCCTCTACACTGCATGGCCTACAACCTCCGCTCCAGCTGCAAAATGGACGGTAAGGAAGAGGAATCTACTGCACCACCGTGGCTGACCAAGGTTCTGGAGGGACTTCAACAGCAGCAGCTCCTTCAGCTGCAGCATCTTCAGGAACAGCAGCAACATCAGCGAGAGGAAACTCAAAGTGAGTTCAACCTACTTCGTTCGGAGCTTCAAGAGCTACGCCGTCTTCAGTCAACCACGACGCCAGCATCTGAGGCAGCTAGTGGAGGAGCAACAGACGTCCTACCACTGACGTCCACCGCTGCTGCCGAGGGGAGTCCTGCACTGCCACGCAGATTGGAAACGGCTCCCCCGGCGACAGCAGCGATCCCGCCGAGGCCACCAGCCACGTATGGCACTATAAGACCACCAGCAGTCACACCACCGAGTAAGCTGTCTGCCTCCATTAGCCTTCGCGACTTCCGGGCATGGAGGTCATCCTGGAACGACTATGCCAGGCTATGCCAGCTCGCCGCATTCAGCCGTGAAGACCAGCTGGCCTTCTTGCGCTCCTGCTTCACGGAAGACATGCGGGCGACATCACAACATGCTGTCGGGATCACAGAAGATACAGACACGGTCCAGTCTGCTCTGGACAAGATCGAGAAGCATCTCCGGCAGCAAAGGAACATCGCAATCGATCGAGTGAAGTTCGAAGAGAAGCAGCAGGAAGAAGATGAGCCGTTGACGCCTTCCTGGTGTCAATCCGAGAGCTTGCCTCCGATGCTGAGCTATGCATCGAGTGCAAGGATCAGCGCCTCTCTACCCGCATCATGTCTGGTCTCCACAATCAAGAGACCCGACGCAAACTACTGGCCCTTCGCCCTTTCCCAGCGTTGGAGACAGTCATCGACATCTGCCGAGCTGAGGAAGCTGCTCAAGCAAACGACAAGATGCTTCAAGACGTCATGAGCAGGAGCTCCAGTGTCTTCAGCATCTCTCGTCAACGTGACCAGAGTCAGCGCAACCCCTCGCGTGACCGTGGAGAGTCAGCATGCGGACGCTGCGGCAACACCAGCCACCTGAGAGGAACATGTCCTGCAGCTAACCAGACCTGCTTCTTCTGTGGCATCACCGGACATTTTGCCACAGTATGCCGCAAGAAGCGCTCAACCCAACAGCAGCAGCCCGACACGGACACATCGTCAAGATCACGCAGCAGACAACGCCACCGGACCGAGCAAGTAGATGTCACTCCGGTGTTCGTCAGCAGCATTCATCGGGATCTGAAGGCGCCGAAGATCTCCGTCAAGATTGAAGATCTCCGAGGCACACTCCTCGGCTGCACCGAGGCCACACCTGACTCGGGAGCTGAAATCACAGTAATGAGCGCAGATACCGCGCGCAAGCTCGGCATGGAAGATGTGGCCCTCGACAGGCCGCCCTGCATCAACGTCACTGCAGCCAACGGACAGTCTATGGAATGCATCGGCACCTTCAAGGCCATCATCCATCTCAACGGGAGGGCAGCTGATGACACCGTCCACGTCTTCAAGGAATCGCGAGGCCTTCTCCTCGCGTGGTACACGGCTAAGAAGCTTGGCATCCTCCCGGACCACTATCCAGAGCCGGCTCCTCGTCAGCTCCAACAAGTGAACACCAGGTCGGCGATCGAGAAGCACGACGCTCAGCCAGTATCAATACTGAAGAACAAGAGCGTGCTCCTGCAGTCACAACAGCAGCGGATGCAGCAGCAGCAGTCACAGCAGCAGCAGCAACCACAGAAGCAGCAGCTACAGCAGCTCCGAAGTGATCTCCTCACCGAGTTTGCTGACGTCTTCACATCGAAAGACAACAGCGTGCCGCTGAAGCCGATGACCGGCCCTCCAATGGCCATCCACATCACCGAAGACGCCAAGCCCTTCGCAGTACGCGCATCTCGCCCGGTGCCGCACGCATGGCGGGACAACGTCAAGAAGCAGCTGGATGACATGGTTCGCCAAGGAATCATCACGCCACTGGGCGACGAGCCATCGGACTGGTGCCACCCTCTGGTTCTGGTCTCCAAAGCGGATGGTGGGGTCAGGATCTGCGTTGACCTCACCAAACTCAACAAACACGTGAAGAGACCTCTGCACCCACTCTCAACTCCAAGAGAAGCAGTCTCCAACATCAGTGTGAACGCAAAGATCTTCTCCACCCTAGATGCTAAATCAGGTTACTGGCAGCTACCTCTCCAAGAAAGCAGTCAGCACCTCACGACGTTTATCACACCGTGGGGACGCTTCCGGTTCCTGCGAGCTCCCATGGGTCTAGTCTCAACAGGAGACGAGTACGGCCGACGCGGAGGCTTGGCGCTTCAAGGTCTCAACAATGTCGTCAAGGTGGTGGACGACATCCTGGTGCACGACGAGACGCTAGAAGACCACGCACAGCATCTCCGGGCCGTGCTCACTCGGTGTCGTCAACATGGTATCACCATCAGCGAGAAGAAGTTCTGCTGTGCACAAGATGAAGTCGCCTACTGCGGCTTCAACCTGTCATCTGCCGGGAGACAGGTGGACCCGGGCAAGATCACGGCCATCACGGACTTCGCTACGCCAACAAACATCACCGAGCTCCGGTCGTTCATGGGCCTCGCCCAGCAGTTCAGCGACTTCTCGTCTGAGATATCATCTGCCGCTGACGCACTCAGAGGTCTGCTGAAGCCCAGCAACGCGTTCGTGTGGACTGCAGACCACCAGGAGGCCTTCAACAAGGTCAAGACTGCACTGTCATCACCGCCAGTGTTGGCACACTACGACCCACAGCTTACAACGGTTCTTCAGACTGATGCTGCTCGACTGAAAGGACTCGGGTACGCCCTACTTCAGCAGCATGGCGAACACTGGCGCCTCGTCCAGTGCGGATCACGATTCCTCTCCGATGCAGAATCTCGATACGCCATGGTGGAGCTAGAACTGCTGGCTGTGGTGTGGGCCCTAAGGAAGTGCCGGATCTTTCTTCAGGGTCTGCAGCACTTCAAAGTCATCACCGATCATCGACCTCTCATTCCGATCCTGAACGACTACACTCTGGACGCCGTCGAGAACCCGCGCCTTCAACGTCTGAAGGAGAAGACAGGCCTGTACAACTTCACTGCCATCTGGCAGAAGGGAAAGGAGCACGTCATTCCAGATGCACTGTCCCGTGCCCCCGTCGAAGAACCGACTTCAGAAGACAGCCAACTCACACAGGCCGTTGAGTGTCACGTCTGTCAGACAGCCAGCATCACCATCAGCGAGGTGTCTTCTCAGGAGAAGCCGTCACATCTCTCGGATCCACGGCTGGAGGATCTGAGAAAAGCAGCTCAAGAGGACACTGTCTACCAGCAGCTTCTATCTGCAGTCACCAACGGCTTCCCCTCATCCAAAGAACAGCTTCCGTATCATTTACTTCCATACTGGAGTGTGCGACATGAGCTTTCCTCTCAAGATGATCTGATCCTGAAAGGGCGTCGAATCCTGATTCCATTCTCATCCCGAAAGGACACCATGAGAGCCCTCCACGATGCTCACCAAGGAATTGAGCGAACAAAACGACGAGCTCGCCAAACAGTCTGGTGGCCCGGCCTGAACAGCGACATCATCAACGTGGTCGGCAACTGCACCACCTGTCAAGAGCATCGGTCCAGCCTACCTCAGGAACCGATGGCTGTCGACCCGCCACCAACGAGGATCTTCGAAGACGTCTCTTCAGACCTCTTCTCCTATGCAGGAAGGTGCTACTTCGTCTACGTGGACAGATTATCCGGCTGGCCAGTCGTTCACCAGCTTCCACGAGGCGACACAACGAGCCACCAGATCATCAAGGCACTTCGAGACGCCTTCGTCAACCTCGGTGTACCAGTCAGGCTTCGTACAGATGGAGGGCCACAGTACAAGAGCCGAGAGATCGCCAGCTTCCTGAAACGCTGGGGAGTACACCACGTCGTCTCTACTCCGTACTACCCACAGTCAAACGGGCATGCGGAGTCGGCGGTGAAGGCTATGAAGCATCTCATCTCGAAGACGACGGTAAACGGCTCCCTGGATGACGACTTCCACCGAGGACTGCTGGAGTTCCGCAACACTCCACGAGCGGACGGACGTTCTCCAGCACAAGTGGTCTTCGGCCACCCCATCCGGTCATGCGTCCCTGCTCATCGCCGCAGCTTCGCCACCGAATGGCAAGAGCAGGCCGAAGAGTGCGACTACAGGGCGTCGCTCAATCTCCAGCGTGCCAAGCAGACGTACGACAGCTCGGCACATCCACTGAAGCCGCTGAAGGCTGGAGACCACGTCTGGCTTCAAGACCCGATCAGCAGGCGATGGGACAACCTCGGCACCATCGTGGGCGTTGGTTACCATCGCGACTACCTTATCAAGACTCCAAGTGGCAGAGTCTTCTGGAGGAACAGACGGTTTCTCCGCCCATCGCTGAAGACGCCCGACAACCCGGAGAAGAAGACGACTTCCTCGCCATCACCGAGCGCTGGGGTGCCGGCGCGGCAACGTGTCCGGTTCCAGCTACCGCCAACGTCAGATCTTCGACGGAGCCAACGTCCCAGAAGAGCACCGACCCGCCTGGGCTGGGAAGACTGCAGGACTGCTCAGCCAGCAGTCTCGAAGAGGGGGGAGATGCTGTGACCGCGCCCAGCCGGTCGGCGAGCCGGGCCGCGCCCGTCCGCCAGCCGCCCGCTGCGCCGGCCGGAGCGCCGCGGACTGGGTCGCGCCACGGTCACGCGGCTCGTGGTGCCCGCTCATTGGTGCGGGCACGTGGCGTGACCGAGCCGTGCCCGGTGATTGGTCGGTTGCGTATATGTGAGGGCATGTCGTGCGCTTGTGTGGGACGATGGGCAGTTGTCATCGGGACCTGATCAAATACACACGACTGTGGACACAGCGGCTCTGCACTGGAGGGACGACGACATCACAGCCTGAACTTTCCGCCTAGTGCTGGGGGGGGGGGGTGAGGGCTGTTCTCACCCCCCCCCGTCTAACTCGGCTCCTGGGCCATTTAACGACACGCGGTAAGCGGCAATCGAAAGAGCGTCAAAAATAAGGAGGAAAACACCTCAGTCATTCTTTACGTCAGGTCAAAGGTCAGGTCCTCAAAGGTCATCAAAGGTCAAATTTAGTCAATTTCAATAGTTTGAGCCACGACATTACTTTTGGCAGCGTCGTGTTTCTCGTCGAGACGCGTCGAATGAGCTATTTGTTCACCTTGAAAGGTCATTTTGAAAAGTTGACCTCAGTTCAAGGTCATGACCTGACCGGAAAGGGTCATGCTGCATATCAGTCGATCCGTATCATCGAGCTGAACACATCTGACGTGTTTTTACCGCTCTAGCACGTCTCTATCAAAAGGTACAGTAAAAAAAATGGTGGTGACCCTTCATGACCTGAGATGACCTCAAGGGCATACAGAAGGGTAACAGGTGCATTTTTCCGGTTCAGTGTGTCATGTTTACCTGTGAACCGATGTTTGAGAGCGTTTTGAACGACATTTGTCCAAAAGAGGCGCGTTTCAATTTTCTCCCATTATTGGTCGCAAAGTTGACATGACCTCAGGTCACAGATAAAAAAATCCGAGATATGCATTTTATACATACTGTTACTAATATCAACCGCTGAAAGTTTCAAAGTGATCGTTCAGCCGGTGTAGCTAAAGCGAGCCTTTGAACTTTATCTGAGGAAAGGTCACTTGACGTGACCTGGTGACCTGGCCTTGAACGACCTGGGTCTGATATTTTCACAACATGTGCGAAAATGATGTATGAACACGTGGCCGCCATTTTTGAGATATTTGCGAAAAACTCCCCTTCCCCAGCACGGCGCGGTAACTAAGTAGCAGTATCATGTATTGAAAACCTTCCACAAAGTGGAAGGTTGGTCGATATTAGCCGTTTTCACGACGACCATCTGGTACACATTTGGTGCACCCTTGGTGCAGATTGGGTGCAGATTTGGTCAAATAAGGTGCATTCGCCGGATAGCCCGTCGTGAAAACGGCTATTATAACCAATTTAGATCAGTCGGTACCTTGCTTTCCACCCTTTCTTAACCCTCGCCCATGTAGGGGGGGGGTTGGTGCAACCCCCCCCTGAGGTTTTTCGGAAATAGTGCAAAAACGGCGGCGCGCAGCGCCGCCAAATTTTGGGTACCTTATGGGGCAAACCTTGCGCATCTTTTGATAAAAAAAATTTGACCGGGTCATGTCAGGTCACGGAGTTATGACGTCACAAAGGGAACAGCCTCCGGCCGGATTTTCACAAACTGAGTGCCAACGCCCGAGGTTTCCTGCCGGTGGTACGGACATCGGTTGATGGATCGTGATGAAACTTCCCATGCATGTTGGGGCAAGTATTGGCTATCATATGGTATAAGAAACTTGACCGGGTCAGGTCAGGTCACGGAGCTATGACGTCACAAGAGGAACAGCGTCCGGTACTATTTTTGAAAAGCGCCCGAACTACTATTTTGCTAATTCTTGTCACCTCAATGGGAATATGCAGCAATATTAGCTTCTATAGGGAGCAAATGGACCTTCCAAATCCAAAAATACAATCAGATTTCAAAAATTTAAATTTTTATTTTTCGAATTTCTGCCGCCGACTGTGACCTTGCCGACTTCCGGCGCTCCCAACGCGCCATTTTTAGAGCTAGGGAAACGAAATACATACCAAACGATAGAGAATTGATCAAGGAACACGATAGTGAAGGTTTAAAGTCGATATCTCCCACCGTTTTGCCGCAATCGCCGCGGAAAGTTGAAAAAAGTCTATTTTTCCGAAAATTTGACCTTTGACCGGTCAAAAGTAGGTCAAATGTTGACCTAGGACCAAAAAATATACCACCAATCGCGAGATCTCGGCGAGAGCAATCCGTTGGTATTTTCCGCTAAGCTCTACGACGCTCCGTTTTCAAACGCCAAGGGGGGGTCGCACCAACCCCCCCCCTGCATGGGCGAAGGTGGCAGATCGCCGTTTACGGGCGAGGGTTAACCCTCGCCGGACCTACTAGTTTTCTACATACGCACCGGCCGAGGGGGTTGGCAGTTATGACCCCTCGCCGTTTCGCCCCTGATGGAGCTAGATCGTCACGGAAAAAACAAGCGTACCTATGCGCTGTTACAAGACGCAGTGACTGGTATCCGATTTTAAGGTATCAGTTCAATCGGTCACCTCTGAGGTCAGGTCAAGTGGCCTAAGGCACGTGTTCAGTTCTTTATTACGGAGCGAGCGAAGCTAGCGGAGCCTTTCCCATATATAACGGTAATCCCATAAATATCAGTACCTATGAGCGGCCCGGCCTGGCCCGGCCCGGCCTTTAACCCGCGCCCCACTGGGGTCTGTGTATAACACGCCCTACTGGGGGGGGGGGGGCTATTCATAGCCCCCCCCCCCTCCAACTCCGAAACTACTGGGCCGATCGTCAAAATTCAAACGGCATCTGATAGCCCCGGAAAAACTGTCGAGCGAAACCTAATTTCATTGACCTCGAGGTCACCGATGACGTCACAGGTCAGGTCAAAGTAAAAATTATTAGCATTTTTGCTTGTTCACATTTTGGGCTCTGGCCGCCGTCTTACAAGTCAGATCAGGCTCATTTTTGGTTTCCACACTCGTGAACAGATGCTCTAGATACCTTGAGGGTACCAAACTTGTACTTTGATTTTCAGGTCAGGGTCAGGTCATCACAGGTCACGAAAATATTATATCATGCGTCGGTCACGTGACACATGTTTTATGGTCCATTTAGGCCATAGATTTCGAATTTGATGTCGTCTGTGTCATTCGAGGTCATTTTGAGTCGAATTTAGCTTAGGTCAGGTCACTTTCAGGTCAAAAAAGGTCAAATTTTGAAGTTAAAATTTTTCAACAAAAAGGTGTCTATTGGATGCAGTTTGAGCTCAGGAACACGATGGTGCCATTTATATTGGTGTACGATGTCAAATACGTACTGAAAAATTGATTTGAAAAATTAATAATTGTGAATTTTTTGCAATAATGCGTATAACTTGGCCATTTTTGAAGATATTTAGCTAAAACTTGCTAGAGTTATAGTTCGTTTTTTTTTTCAAAAGGACGCTGGCTCCAAGTTCCTTATCGAGCCTCTCACGTGAGTTTTGGCAGCTTCAGCGTCTGGCCAAGAATTTCTTACCGAAAAAATATTCGATTTCAAATTGTGCACGGTAAGTACCCGGAAATTGTGTCTTGAAAAATTAGCATACTATGATGACGTCACTGGTGGCAGCAGGCACCCAATGTCCGTACGATGGGACAAAGTTTCGACGGTTTTGGGGGAAACTTCGTTTTTCACTGTTGCCGAGGTTATAATCGAGTAAGCGGTTTCGTCCATGATAGTTATACGTTACATTGCAATACAAGTTTGACAGCATGACGTCACCACTGTTCCCATATCTGGTTCCAAAATGCACGTATGAAAATTATTGGGAATATTTCACATGTTAAAATAAGGCGACGTTCGAGTTTCTCAGGTTCAGTTTTTGCTCGTTTTGGTCGCTAAAACGCGTGCTTTTTCGAAAAACGGAGTGCGTCTAGCGGCTGGTAGGGACAATTTTGAGACAGTGGTTGCGCGCTACATACAAACTGAATTATCGCAAGGCTACTAAATCAAATTGTATTTGCGCATTGGTGTCCTCGGTCTTTGTTATTGTTTGGGCTGGCTGGCTGCCGACAGGTGTGCGTTTGTTATTTATTTTTGTTTTCGACAGGAAGAGACAACTCACAATTGCGAAGAGATTACCTTTTTGATATTGACACTCAGAAGATTGGTGGAAAATGTGATGAGATTGAAATATTAAAAGATTGAGATGAGGAGTGCCGAGTGAGTGAGCGTTGGTTATTTCATTTTATGTTTTCATCAGAAGATGGATTGAAATGTGTGATAAACAGCTGGTATTCCAGAGATGATTGTGACCGAAGATCCGAGTTGAAATGAAAAAAAAGCTAGAGAAAACAGTGATTTTATTGTAACAGTAGTTTGGTTATGATTCTGCAAGCACCTTTGTCAACTCATAACCACAAGTACTTATTGGATTTGTGAAGCAGTTTATCAAGGTGTTCATGGATAGGCTTATTTTCAAAGAACAGTAGACTACTGATACGTGTGGTATCATGTGTTTGACCAGCTGATGTTATCTGTTCTGTCATGTGCATTGATAGTAAATATGTGCATGCTTGGGCCCTGGCAAGATGAATAAAAGCATTCATATTTCGTAATAATGAATAATGTTGCTTTCTCTTCATGACTCATGATATGTTATGGAAGTGTAATGGGGTCTGAATGAAGTCAAACCATAGCTCATTTTGAAATGCATTTCCTGCTGGCTGGAAGCTGGACACACCACATGTAAAGCTGAAATTCATTCATTGGTTTTGGCATAAAAATAACAAAGATTATGACAATCAATTTTTGGAGCCTGGAAGGAGTGTTCAGTTTTAGATGAAATGCATTTCCTGCTGGCTGGATGCTGCACACACCACATGTAAAACTGAAATTCATTCATTGCTTTTGGCATAAAAATAGCAAAGATTATGACAATCAAGTTTTGGAGCATGGAAGGAGTGTTCAGTGTTAGAATTCACTAGTGCTGATAATAGTCTTCCAGAGTCTCAATTCCAATTCTGGTTGCAATGCACAAACTTTGATCCACCCTGATACATTCTCACAGACAACTTTCAGCTCTCACAGATGCATTGAAAAACTGCACCATTTTCAATGCATGACAGGTAAGTAGGCACTATCATTGATTGAAGCAGGACCTTCGACGGCACACATTAGACCAGGAAATACAAGCTAGCCCCTTCATATTGATATGTAGGTACTGTGTTTGTTACCGTCGGTATTCTGCGGCTCTAGTGGTCAGCCAATGAGAGCGCGGCCACGTAGCCTGAGGGCCGGCCGGCGCTCGGCCGATCAGCCGGCGCCGTCAGACGGGTCAAACTGATCGGAGCGCCAGCGAAAGGCGTTGTGCTTGTTTGTGCTGTGCGTCTGCTGAACGGTGAGTTTATCATTTTGACTGATTTGCGGATATTTGTTATGTTCACTTCTGTAATGAGTTTGTGTGCTTTAGTCAATTTGGTTCGCGCTCCTATTACGGGATTTTTGTTAATGGCATTGTAATACGTTTCAGGACGCGGAGAGCGTTAGACATGTTGATGTCGGTACTCGATGCTCAAGGCATTCTGGCGTGAGCGGTTGCGTTATAATATACTGGAAGTCGGAATCAAGAGAGAGACGATTTTGCACTCCCAACCGCTTCGGCTTACATTTGGTGGCAGCCTGGTCTTTTCGGACCCACGTGGCCGATCGGGAGTGCTGTGGCGCCATTCGTCAAGTGTGATGGGAGTCTCCAGTCGGTTCCCATCTTTGGGAGGCCGGAGTTGCTCTGCAACTGCAGACTGGATGGCTCAGAATCGCTTGTGAGCTTCAGTTTGACTCGCCAGCCGGCTCGATTCCCGGTTCAGCGGCCGGCTCAGCGCTGGCGGACACCGGGCTCCGCTGAGTCGCGGCGGCCGTGGCCTGGGGCGGTTGGTCAGCTGACCTGCCTCGCCCGCCGGCCGGGCGGCTGTCTGGCTCGTGATCAGCTGACTGCGGCCTGACCAAGGTCAGCGACCGGCGCCTGACGTGGCTCGCCGGGAGGACGGATGCACCGGCGGACACGGGTCACCGCTGGAGCGTCAGCTGACTGCACCGTGAGCTACTGCGTGCGCTGTGGACTGCTCGCGCGCCTGAGCTACTGGTGCGCCGGACTGTGGATTTTCGAGGTGAGGAAGTGGGGATAATGACTTTGTGAGGGGCCTTACTGTGTTCCTGATAGGTGCAGCGGGGGAGGGACACGTCCGTCGGGATTGCCGCAGTCGCAATTCCGTCTGCTACCGATGTGGCGTCAAGGGACACTTGGCCAAGGTTTGTCCGTCTGAGAGCACGGAAAACCCGAGCGGGGCCGTCGGTTCCGTCCCGCCCGGGCGGCCCCAGCCCGGTTTCCGAGGGGCGATGAGCGCAACGCACCAGAGCGGCGCTCAGTGGTCGCACCAGCCGCGCGTGCAACCGCCGGTGGTCACGTTTCCACATCCACAGGGAATGGCTGTTCCCCAGATGCACCTGCCGTCGCCGGGGCATCAGACTCGAGCGGCACCAGAGTCGGGTCCGCCGAGGACTTCGAGCGCGTAATTCCCTTGAGACCGGATATGACCTTTGATGGAGTAGTCGGAGGAGTTCAATGTTGTCTTTTGCTCGATACAGGGAGTAGTATCAATTTGATGAACAAGTCTGTTTTCGACGTTCTAATTAATCGGCCGCCTCTTCAGAAGACGTCGGTTGTGGCCAAGACCGCAGCTCAGGACCCTCTGCCATTGCTCGGTAGGGCAAACGTGTCACTTAAATTGGCGGGTCAGACGACAGTGATGCCGTTCTTTGTGTCTGAGTCTATCGATGTCCCAGTCCTGCTCGGCCTTGAATTTCTAGCATCCTGTCCGTGTGTTGTTGATTTGGCTGGGGGACAACTGGTTTTGACGCCGTCACGAGTAGTCCGGTCTGTTTCTGCTTCGCTTGTCTCTGTTGGACGAGTGATCGTGCAGAAAGACATCTCTGTCCCTCCTGGTCATGAGCTTGTGATACCGGCCTTCATCCCGAATTCAGACTTTCGAGGGCCAGCCTTGTTTGAGCCGAACGCTGATATGGAGGGAGTGGAGCTGGTGCCCTCCTTTGTTTCAGTTTCAGGCCAGTTTGTGCCCTGCATTGTAAGAAACATTTCCAGCGAACCGGTGACAATTCGGAAACGATCTGAGCTCGGACAGCTTGAGGTAGGCGTTGCCGAGTGTCCGCTGGCTGAGACGGAAAGCAGCAAAACGACTTGGCGAGAGCAGCTCGATCTTTCTCAGAGCGATCTCAGTGATCCGGAGCGATCAGCTGTCATTTCTCTGCTCGCCAAATACGAGGACGTGATTGATGGTCGATTGGGTTTCACGCCTCTGGTTCAGCATCATATTGATACCGGTGATGCTCCACCTACCAGGTCCGCGGCTCGCCGGATCCCTCCGTTTCTTCAAGGGAAAGTCAAGGCAGAGCTGGACCGCATGGTGGATGCTGGCATTCTTGAGGAGAATTTCGGTAGCAGTTGGGGATCCCCCATCTGCGTTGTGTCCAAGAAGGATGGAAACATTCGAATATGTGCCGATTTAAGGAAAGTCAATGCCGTGACTCGAATTCCCGCTTACGGTATTCCGAGAGTTGACACTCTTCTTGATTCTCTCGGTGGCAATTCTGTTTTCTGTGTCCTCGATCTCAAACAATGCTACTATCAGATCGGAGTCGCCCCCGAGGACGCTGACAAAACCACTGTTGTGACTCCGTTTGGATCCTACAGGCACAGGCGCTTGCCTCTAGGCATCAATGGTGCGCCGATGACGTGCGCCAGGCTCCTCGATTTGGTTCTGCGTGATGTTCCTCCAGAGACCGCCCTGGCGTACTTTGACGATATCTTGATTGGTGGCAAAAGCTTTGATGACGTCATTGGAAAGCTCGAGCTCGTTTTGCAGCGACTTCGCAGTGCAGGTCTGACCATCAACCTGCAGAAGTGTTCACTATTCCAGAAGACGGTGAAATTTCTGGGTCACGTGATCTCAGCTGAAGGAATAGCTGTCGATCCAGAGAAGGTTGAGAAAGTTCGAAGCTGGCCCATTCCTCGTTCTGTGGCACAGCTGTCTTCATTCCTCGGCATGGCCAGTTATATGAGGAAGCACATTCGAGACTTCGCTATGATCGCCGCTCCGCTGCAGCGTCTGCTGCACAAGGACAAGGCTTTTGTCTGGACTGAGGAGGCACAGGCGTCCTTCGACAAACTACGTGCCGCGCTATGTGAAGCACCGGTCCTGACTGTTCCCGATTTCAGTTCTGATGCTGGCACTTTCATCTTGGAGACCGACGCGTCTCAAGACGCTGCAGGTGCCGTTCTGAAGCAGCGTGTCGGTGACGACGAAAAGGTCATAGCTTATGGTAGCCACAGATTCTCTAAGAGCCAGTCGAATTACAGCGTCACAAAACGTGAGATGTTTGCTGTTGTTTTCTTTGTTGACAAGTTTGCCCCATACTTACTTGGTCGCAGGTTCATCATTCGAACCGATCACGCCAGCCTCCGTTGGTTGTTAAACTTCAAAAATCCGACGGGTGTCTTGGCTCGTTGGTATGAAATTCTCGCTCAGTTTCAATTCACAATCGAGCATCGTCCTGGCGCTGAGCATGTCGTGCCTGACGCGCTCAGTCGCCGACCCCTGGATGTCACTGACAAGTCCTGTCAGACGGACGAGGCTTCTCCCGATGTGTTTCGTGTGTCCTGTTCTGACTGGTCAGTCAGCTATCTCAGAGATGAGCAGGACCAAGATGCAGATCTGTCTGTGATCAGCAGGCATCTGTCGGCCGGTCGAAAGCCGAAAAAGAAGGAACTTTCGGCAACAGCAGCTCGGTTTCTCTCGCAATGGTACCGCCTGCGACTACTGAATGGTGTACTGTACCGAGTGTACAAGCGAAGGCCGTTTGACACCGACCAGTTACAGATTGTTCTACCGCGCTCTCTCATTTGCAGTGTGTTGGCTTCTCTTCACACCGGACCGACTGGTGGCCATTTCGCCTCTGACAAACTGTACCAACAGGTCAAGCTCAGGTTCTGGTGGCCTCGGATGCTGTCAGAGATAGAGTCGTTCTGTAAGAGGTGTCCTCAATGCGGTTCGCGGAACATTCCAGTTCCGGCGCCCAGAGCTTCGTTGGGAGAGCTTGCAGCCTCTGAGCCGCTCGACATAGTCGGTTTAGACATTCTGTCGTCTTTACCAGAGACCCCAAGTGGGCATCGCCACCTTCTTGTTGTGGTTGACCACTTCTCACGGTGGGTAGAGGCCTATCCACTGAGGACGCAGGAGGCTGCTGAGGTTGCTTCTGTTTTTGTTCGTGAATTTGTGTCACGTTTTGGGTGTCCGAGAAGAATCCACTCCGATCGTGGCGCGAATTTCACTGGTGAGATCATGAGAAAGACATGTGAGCTGTTGGGTATCAATCGGTCGACCACGACAGCTTTTCATCCGATGTCCAATTCCATTGTCGAGCGCACTAATCGTACTTTGATAAACATGTTCGCGAAGTTTCTCGAAGAGCACGAGCATTCAGAGTGGGACAAGAATCTTCCACTGCTGCTACTGGGCCTGCGAGCTCAGGTCCACCGCTCACTAGGTGTATCACCGTACTGTGTTCTGTTTGGGAGGGAGCCACGTCTTCCTGCTCAGATGGAGCTCGACGCTCCTCTGCGTGGCCGCACTCGAGGCATCTCAGAGTATCTCGATGAGCTGAGGTCCAGTTTGAAGTGTTTGCATCGCGTAGCTTTAGAAAACTCTAGGTTAAGTCACCAGAAAAACAAAGCATTGTACGAGAAGAAAATCAACGATTTTAATTTTTCCCCTGGTGATGCAGTGTATCTTCATAAGGGTGTGGTTCCTAAGGGAGCTTACTATAAGTTTCTCAGGCCTTGGAAGCCTGCAGTTGTAGTGGATAAGGTGGGAGAACTGAACTACCGTGTTAGATTAGAGGGTGCCAAGTCGACTCTCCTCGTGCACCACAATAGACTAAAGCCCCGGATTAGCCAGGGCTCTGCGGCTGATCTCTCATCTGGGACCCAGGCGCGTGTGTCTCCCCGAGGGATGGAATGTGGGAGTTGTAACTCAAAGGGGGTGGCGGGTGGACCTCAGTGGAATGGCCGTTTTGATGAGCCAGCTGATCCTACCAGTGTAATCCCCGAGTCTCGAGCTCCAGTCATTTCATTACTCAATCCGTTCGCGTTGAGTTTCACGCCCGTTGTGCCGTTCAGTTCACTGAGTGAGTCCCCTGGTCAGAGAGTGCAACAGGAGCCTGGTCTGGGGACTGATGACGGCGAGAGTTCCGTCGCTCAGGAGAGCGATGGGCAGGCCGATGCCGTTCCGAGACGATCGGACAGGCGAACCAAAGGTGTTCCGCCTGACCGGTTAGGGTACGACGATAGGTGATATTTACTGTGTTAGATTTCATGCCGATCTGTAGAGTGTGTGATGTTTTGTAACATGTAAATCGTTGTGCACGGACACGGTCAGATAAAGTTCTTGACCCGGGCTGGTGAAGGCTGAAATGGATTGTGACAGACGACTGAGGTGTCTAGCGCGCAGACTCCGATGTTGCCATGTTTCCACCACATGGAAACGCGTCTCTTTCTACGTCGACCACCTGGATGTGTGAATTTTGACCTGTTTGTAATGCTCAACTTGATTGATGTTATGCTTAGTTTTTGCCCGTTTTGTTCTGTGCTTTTGTTCTGTTGTTTTTTCAGTTAAGGGGGAAGAGTGTAGGTACTGTGTTTGTTACCGTCGGTATTCTGCGGCTCTAGTGGTCAGCCAATGAGAGCGCGGCCACGTAGCCTGAGGGCCGGCCGGCGCTCGGCCGATCAGCCGGCGCCGTCAGACGGGTCAAACTGATCGGAGCGCCAGCGAAAGGCGTTGTGCTTGTTTGTGCTGTGCGTCTGCTGAACGGTGAGTTTATCATTTTGACTGATTTGCGGATATTTGTTATGTTCACTTCTGTAATGAGTTTGTGTGCTTTAGTCAATTTGGTTCGCGCTCCTATTACGGGATTTTTGTTAATGGCATTGTAATACGTTTCAGGACGCGGAGAGCGTTAGACATGTTGATGTCGGTACTCGATGCTCAAGGCATTCTGGCGTGAGCGGTTGCGTTATAATATACTGGAAGTCGGAATCAAGAGAGAGACGATTTTGCACTCCCAACCGCTTCGGCTTACAGATATTCAATAAGGTACATCTCACAAACATCAGAAGGTAGGTCACCATGTTTTTGCTTTAATCATAGAATATTGACATTAAATATTGATATTGATATTAATATTGCACTTCCATTTTAGATGACGTTTTAATAACTAAATATAGAAATAAGTTATCATTATGAGTATGGGCACAACACCAAACTTGGTGCCCAAAGCATGCCACTCAGCATGCAAGTCAAACTTTAATTTCCGATTAATCTGACAAAACACATGGCTGCAAATGTTAATAACATTTTATACTGAAGATTAACCAGTTACACATACTGCATTATTATGTGAACATAACAGAACATGGTAAATCCAGCAGGAAGTTTGCATTCTGATACAATCAAACTTCTAGAAAGCCTCAATCCTCATAAAGCCAGTGGACCTGATCAAATATCAAGTCAGCTTTTGAGAGCAATGGCAGCAGTGCTCGCGCCGGCTCTTACAATCATATTCCAAGCCTCTATTGATCAAGGCCAGGTCCCAGCTGAGTGGAAAAGGGCTTATGTTGCCCCCATTTTCAAAAAAGGTGACAAAGCCCGAGCCTGCAACTATCGGCCTGTGAGTCTCACATCGGTTAGCTGCGAAGTCCTGGAGCACATCATCCATAGTCATATCATCAACCACCTGGAGGCGCACAATATCCTCGCCGACCAGCAGCACGGCTTTCGAAAGAAACGGTCCTGTGAGTCCCAACTGATCGCCACTATACATGACCTGGCGAAAGGGCTTGACCAGCAACAACAGATTGACGCCATTGCCTTAGACTTCAGCAAGGCGTTTGACAAGGTACCACACCAGAGACTGATCACCAAGCTTGAACATTACGGAGTGAGAGGAAAGACACTGCGGTGGATTGAGAGCTTCCTCCACGGCCGAACCCAACAAGTGGTCGTCGATGGAGAACAGTCGGCACCAGCTCCAGTGACATCGGGAGTCCCTCAGGGAACAGTCCTTGGTCCTCTGCTGTTCCTCGTCTACATTAACGACCTACCCCAATGTGTCACTTCGACGTCTCGACTGTTCGCTGACGATTGCTTGGTGTACCGCGTCATCAACAACACGAGCGACTCAGACAAACTTGTAAAGAAGACCTGAAGTCGTTACAGAACTGGGAGCATCGTTGGCAAATGTCATTCAACTCAGACAAATGCGAAGTCATCCGCATAACAAACAAGAGATCACCCATAACTAAGAACTACTCTATTCATGGTGAAGCGTTAAGAACATCTGACAGCATCAAATACCTAGGCCTTGACATCGACAGCAAACTGTCATGGGAGAAACAGGTCAACAACATCAGTAGGAAGGCATCGAACACCCTGGCTTTTCTAAGAAGAAACATCTCACACTGTCCGCTCAAGATTCGTCTAACAGCGTACAAGACGCTGATCAGACCCCAGCTTGAATACGCAGCAACAGTGTGGGACAACTCTGTGAAGGCTCGTGTGTCAGCTGTTGAATCTGTACAGCGTCGAGCAGCACGATTCATCACAGGAGACTACGATCGACGAAGCAGCGTCACAAACATGCTGAATGCGCTGAGTCTGGATACCCTGAGGAGTCGAAGACAGCCGGCACAATAAAGGGAGAGAGAGAGAGAGAGAAACATGGTCTACAATGATCCATCTGGGATTTGGGAAACCAATAAACCACCAATAAACTCAGTTGGTATTCATTCATTGGCGATATGATTTATATAGATGCACTTCCATACCTATCTATTTCAATTTATACTTGGGACAACAACCTCTTGCTACTTTCACTTCAGTTTCAGTATCTCAGATTCTTCAGCACTTCAGTGATCTTTGAATATTTTCATCTCGTCACATTTTCAATCAATCTTCTGAGCGTGTCAATAGCAAAAAGTTATCTCTTCAAAATTATGAGATGTCTCTTCCTACCGAAAACAAAAATAAATAACAAACGCACACCTGTCGGCAGCCAGCCAGCCCAAACAATAACAAAGACCGAAGATACCCACGCGCAAATACAATTTGATTTAGTAGCCTTGCGATAATTCAGTTTGTATAGAGCGCGCAAGCACTGTCTCATAATTGTCCCTACCAGCCGCTAGACGCACTCCGAAAAACGTACTTGGAGCCAGAGTCCTTTTGAAA